TTATTTATTAATATTAAAAACTATTTTTTATTTATAAAATTAATAAAAAAAAGCTACGACACCCAGTATTCCCATGTTGTCCCCAACCATAGTACTGACTGGGCCATTAGTGGTTTAACTTCGGAGATCGGACGGGTTCCGGTGGTTTTCACTATGTATGGCCGTAGCTATTAAAATTGTTGGAATATGTTTATTTAAATGATAAATATTATTCAAATAATTTTTTGTTTCATGGAATTTAAAACTAATTTACGTAGAAGATAATGGGCGCGCAGCAACCAATATCATGACATCCTGGATGTCACTGAAATTGTCCATCGCACGCACAATATCTTATATATATTGTTGCGAGTTAGATTGATCATGTGAATTTGAAATTGTAATTATAAATTTGGGCTAATTTGAATTTCATGCAACATAACATTGACATCAAAACTTTTACAGATAACCAACAGCGGTGTTTTAAAATGACTCGATGGCGAAAGTCTTTATTTTATATTCATATATTTTTAATAAAAAAATTTGATATAGTAATTATAATTTCAATGCTAGAAAAAAATATTTTGAGCTCTATCTTTATCTGAAAGCAAACCAATTATACCTTATGGTAACTGAATGGATTCTTGTTAATCCTTTAACTCATTGGTAAAGTAATTGTAATTGTCGGATCCCAAATAGATATCACATCTAGTAGAATTTCAAAACTCCACCATCATTTATATTTTAAAGCATCACAAGAAATACGATTACAAATTTATCTCAAAAATTTTAACTTCACCTCTTGACATTGAATTCTTTGTTCTGAAGCAAGTATTAGTTCTTTAAAAAATCTACAGTTTGATATACAACTACTTTGCGTACTGTCCATTTATGGAAATTTCTTAAATAAACCCTATTGATAGTGTAATCAATAAAGTACACATTTATCACTTAAAAGATCTCCAGGATACGGTACATGACTTGGATAAACAACACCCAGCCCAATATAACCTCCATCTCCATTTGATTATTGGGAGGATGTGAGAGTATTAAAAAACAATAATGAACCAAAGATCAAGGAATTATTTCACATTGTTAACCGATTAAAAGTATCACCACCAAAAGATTTGCAGAGATCCAACGATCAATTTATGCCTAGTTATACTATAAATACTTCATTTATCAAACAGAAAATTATACACAGATATTGAATATATTTTTATAATGAAACAATTGATTTAGATAGTTTGGAGCCAGATGATTAATTGTAGGTTTATTTACAAAATTACTTTGCATTCAGTATATTTTCAAGAAGTGATGCGTTAACTACAGAAAAAATATGGAATACATTTTCCCGCGCTATTCAGTATTAGTATGCTTTCTATATATATTTTTTTTCATATGATTTCTGCACAGAATTTTTTTATAGAGCTTTATTGCATTCCATTCAAAATGTATTTATTTGACAATATTCTATGAAAATTTATGCGGAGCAATGGTAGAAAATTTTTATATCGCAACTTTGATTGTTAAATTTTGACAGGATAAAAAAAGTCGATGGCTTTTAAAATTCATTCTAATATAAATTTAGAATTATTTTGATATACTGTACCAGATATACGTTTAAAAATTTTGACGAGTTAAGCAAGTAAATATTTGCAACAAAATATGGAAAAAAAAAATATTTGATCACTATTCTTGTTGCTTTGAAATTAGTTTTGCTGCTGATGATTTATTAATCCTTATGGAATCTGCAGGAAAAACAAACAATTTACTAAATGGCCATGTTCATCTTTAATTTATTTTTTATACTAATTTCAAGAATAAAGACTTGGAAAATCATTATAAAATAATCAAAGCAATTTCAAAATCGCAGGATGTGTGTGAGAATTTTAACTTGGGCAAAGTTTAGAACGTTCGTTTTTTATCTTTTTTATATAGCGTCATAAATTCCAAATTTCAAAGTTGTAACCTTTATTATAAATATTTAATTTGAGGATGGTTTTTAATTAAACAATTTTAATGTTATTCAACATAAGAATAGTCAAATCTTTTTCTTTCCGTTTTGATGATTTGTGCCTAAATCCTATTAGATTAATTTTATGACTTGTGAAATGCACCTTCCACGAAATCTTTTGATAAACCATAGAGAAAGTCGAGAAAGACGGGTTTTCAACATAACCGATTGTAAAACTTTCAAAATGATTATTTTATGTTCACCTTTTTTAATACAATTATGACAATGGCTAGTAGAACCTATCGTAATAAAGGAGGGTTATCTATACATTGGTGATGTCAGCCGGCAAAGGAATTTTAAAATGACTTGGCCGGCTAATTTTCTGTAAAAAAATTTTTTGGAACTTCTCAGAAGTCAACTTTATCATTATTTTTTGATGATAATCAAACAAAAGGCAAATAAACCTTTTTGATATAAAACAGTTGACAATTTTATTAGCTAACCTTTTCAATTGCTTAATGTGCACTACAAAATAAAATCAGAGAAAAGATTTTTATTTAACGTTACAAAAATTTTTATCCAATTGAACCAAAAAAGTTGGTTTTACCGTACAAGCAAGAATTCACTTAGAAATACCGGCGAGCTCAGTGCCATCCGAGAGGTTATTTTTATCAGCTGAAAATTTATTTGCAAAGAAAAATACAGAATTAGCAAAATAATATTCAAATTTCTTGAATGATTCTTATTTTTCTTATTTGAATTAAATATTTATCCAAAATGAAAAATTTATATATAAGTCCTTAGCCGGCTAGGAGTTTATCGGTCTATCCAGTCAAGGTTTTTAACGGCTGATATCACTCACTACTATACATAACATTAAAATCGAGAAACAAAGGTTCGCAAAATATGTAGGTCCTTATAATTCATTTGCTAACAAGTGTTCTAATTATCTGACAAATATTAAAAGCGCAATAAATATTCGATCAAGAAAAGATGTTTTGCGTATTTTAGATATTTAAGAAGATTGAAAGGGTCAAACTTTTTCAAAAAAAAAAATCACGTCATGCTATTTCTTTTGAGCATGGATTGATCCAATTGGCTTGGTAAGACAATAATAGATAAAAGGCTTCGGGCACTTTAAATTATATAGAGCTATTTATTTTGATCAAAATGCTAGAGATAAAACATAAGTCATTGTGTAAAATAAAGCTGGAATGATTTATAATGATAAGTCCCGCCTGATATGGTAGAATTTCCTTCAGAAGTGTTAAAAATCTGCAGCACATACCCTCTAAAAATAGAAAGTAGATATTGTACAACGAAGGAACTTTTTATCACAAAGTAGATTTCAGTCAGTAGACATTCAGTACTGTACTCTTTTGCATTCCTGTACTGTATGATCTGCTGTGTACTGTATGTTTGTGTATGACTTTTTTAAAAAAATTTATATTTTTGTAGACCATAAAGTAAAGGAATGCAAAAGAGTATAGTACTGAATGTCTATATACTCGGTAGATTTGCAGATTTAATTGGTATTCAAACGCAAAAATAACGATGAATTTCCACCATACTTACTAATGCTGCTGTTTGTAAGAATAATTATTTATAGAAAAAAAAGATAGCGACAAAATTTAATATTTAATTTCAATCTTAAAACAAAAGTAAAAAAGATATATACCATTTACCAAATATCACAGTATCGATTTGACGTCAGTCGTGAATTTATCATACAATTAAATTGCGTTTTTACAAGTATGGCACCCTAATCATTTTTTGCTCTGCCAAAAGATAACTCTTCGGACAACCTTCGAAATTCAGAACATACAATGTTGACAAGCTTGTTTATCAAGATTATTTAAGATTTAAAATTTAGGGTTATTCTTAACTCATTGTCGAGAGCTTGAACTATTCCTTTGGTTTATTTTGTTATAGCACATGAAATACTAAATAAAATATTATAGATTCTCTTAAATATAATCACTCAAACATTAAGCAACACTTATAATTTGCAAAAAAAAAAAAAAAATAGAAAAATATTGATTTTCTTATTTTACATAATAAACAAAAGGCAAGAAAGTTTTTTATTTTGACTACCCATCATCATCTTCTAATTCTTGTGATTAAAGTTGTTCCTTTCTTTCTGCCAACAAGAGATCAATAGTAAAATGACTCCAGTTGAACTTAACCATGTTGTTTGCATATTGCAAAACTTGGAGACAGAGAATATGATGGGACGATTAACTTTAGTGGGGAAAAAATTGAAATGAGTAACACAAAAATCTCTCGAGTATAAGCACCGCCCAACATAGTGCTTATATTCGAGAGAATACGATATATGCAAAAAATGTGAGAGATTTTATCAATGTCATATGAGATTTTTAATAATGCATAAGGACATCCAGCAAAGGGTTTCATCATTAAATTTTATAAGAAATAATATATTTCGACATTTAACTCCAAATGATATCATCCATCTTGTGGAAGATAATATTATATTGGGTTTAACCAGCAATAAAGTTTAATTAAAGTCATATGCCCCAAACAGAAAAGTTTTTGAGGTGAGTAAAAACAATCAGTGTCTCCTCTCACTTTTGTATATATCATACTCCTAATTAATATTAACAATGAGAGTCCATATTTGGTTTCCATTTCCGATTTAATGAATTAGAATTTGATAAATGTTACCTAAAATATAAGTTTCCTCTTTTCCGGAGAAGGTATCCTAACATTAACTATTTAAAGAATCTCGATAGAATATTCAATAAAACCACGCACATCTTATGAACCCCGACATACTTCAAATCCAGAGATGAAGTTCATTTTTTTAGAAGAGGAATAAATACACATTTTGCCTCGGATCTACATATATGATCCGTCATTAAATTGCACAATTTTAGAGATAGTTATGTGATAAGATAAATAAATATAATTATGAAAAAAAAAAAATTAAATATAAAAAGAGAAATTTTTTTTGTTAAATTGTTTTGAAATTATAAAAGAAAAATTTTCTGCGATTGTAAATAAATACCTATACATGTACATATCATAACATAAGCTCGCAAATATGACATTAAATGACACAACTACTATTACTGGTGAAAGCACCGAGATTTATGATGACATTATTTTCGTTAACGATTCCGATGCTAATGACAATCTTAATGTTAATGCTATTGTTGACGATGATTATATTAATGTTAATGCCGATGTCAATGTTAATGAAAAGTTGCAAAAAATGCCGCCAAATTTAAAGATTGTTGACAAATTTCTTGGAGAATACAATGACGATAACGACAACAATAATAATGTTCTAATACCACCTCAGTATCAATATCAACAATTGTTAAATAATGCTTATCTAGTACTACAACAACAAACATCTCCCGCCTCTATCACCACAACTGCATCCGCAATGAATTATTTTCCCAATATGATGGTTGCAGAAACACCATCACGTCCCTTAATTCAGAATAATTACTTGTTAACACCAGAATGCATTTTATCTCCCTCCATAGCTCAGAAAGTTCCTATAACAACACCATTAATATCTCCTACCACAATTGTCTCGCCCGCAACTACCGCAACTATGTCTACTGCAACTTCATCAGATTTATCAGAAACGAGCTCAAGTTCATCGTCATTAACACCATTATCGCCATCACCATCTTCGTCATCACCATCTTCGTCAAGAACAAGAACAAGAACAAGAACAAGAACGACACGATCTTCTTCAACTTCTTCAATTTCTACTTCTGCAACAACGACAACGATAACTCCACCAAGTCCGTATCAATATCCAAATCATAATTATGATGATCCAAGCTATTTACCGAAAGTAACTAACCCAACTGACGATGAAAAACGTCGACGTAACACATTAGCATCGGCAAAATTTCGTAATAAAAGGAGAATGAAGGAACAAGAATTAGAACGTATAGCTAGGGAGATGACAGAGAAAGCTGAATTGCTTGAGTGTAGAGTTAAAGAACTTGAGAGCGAAGTTAAGCTATTGAGAGGTTTAATTATTGATATTGATTCTAGTCGATTAAATGGTTCAAGTCATAATAATCGTCCAATTAACATTGGCAGTGATAATGATTCAATCTCTAGAAATAATCAATTATCAAGAAATATAATGATTGGTGATGATTATATTGATGATAATAATAGCGATGGTGTTGGTAATAGTCGAGTGGCAACGACAACAACTAACATTTTTTAAAAAAAAATTTTTCAATAAATTAATAATCGAAAAAAATTATCCGTAATAATAATTCTATTTTTCATTTTGTTTTTTATTTTATTTTATTCGAATTTACGCGATTCATTTTGGGGGTGGGTTTCTAAGCATAATTATGGTTATTCGTGAACAGTTTTTAAATTAAGAAAAAATATATAAGGAAAAATTTGTATGTTTTTATTATTACTATTACTATGTATTTCATTTCTATGATTTAAAATTTTTTTTATAAGAAATTTAAAATACTAAATATTATACTTTATAAATTAATAAAACTTTTATAGCGTTAACTCGAAATACTTTTAAATAATAATAATTCTTTTCCCTTGACTGCAAATAAATTAAAAATGGTTAAATCATTTATTAAGATTGGCCAATTATTAATTCTATTTCATCACAATTTAATTATGTCAAATAATAAATTTACCCTCGTGACACTAGCATTATGGGCGGCTAGCCAATAACGATACACTTTATCTTATAAAATAAATGACAAACTCATTCATTACATGGACTCCAGAGACCTTCATAATACTCGGTAACATAATCGAAGCAATATCGGTATATACACAAGATATTATGGAAACATATATGCAAATTAAATGCCAATAGCTTGGAATTTGAAAGTTCTGACAACAAGATTTCTTGGTTCTGATTATCTTCAAATAGTTGCGATTGTCATATATTTATATTATAAAAATTCCAAAAATAAAAATTTATAAATGTTTGTTACACCATTATTTTAATCACAATGACAACGAAGATAACAATGACGATGACAACAACAAAGACGGCAACAACAACAACAAAACAACAACAATGCAAGTTGAACTTTAACAGTAAAAAAAATATCAGTTGGCACCATTTCAAATTATTTCACATTTGTGTGGCCAATTGCTGAACAAGAAAGAATTGTATAAGCTTATGAAATACCTAATTATGGATCATCAAAAATATATACAATTCTTGATATTAACAAACTTCTCAAGAACAATGATATTAATCAACCAAATGCTCAATCAATATGGAAAATAAATGTACCTTCGGAAATTAACCCTTCAACTCAGTATTTAATAGTACCTGTAGTAAGATCCCAACTAAAAGAAAAATTTGGAAATTGGACCAACGTATATTACATTATTATTGATGAAAATTAATACCTGCTTTAAAAAGTTTGGAAAAAAGACGATGGTAAAAAAGGCTTGATTTTAAATGTAATAGAAATGTTCTTAGCTGGTAATATAGAAAAACGTAATAAATTTTTCCAAAAGATGCTGAAAATAACGATATAGGGATCTGATAGTATTCCTTCCCTCTGACAAATCAAATATGTATATTTAGATTTAATCAACATTGCAAAAAAAAACAAGCAGCTAGAAATGCTAATACTAATAATGCAAAAAAAAATTATTCGCATGATGTTTTTAATAATAATAATAAAATTTAAAATAAAGAAGTCCATTAAACCTTTTACCTCTAAGAATATTTATTATACAGTCCACTCTCTATAATTATAACAAATCTTTTTATAACTGATCTTGTTCTATAATGGACTGTCCCATATTAATATTAATATAATAATAATAAATCATTACCGTCTATAACGGATTTATTATAACACTAATACTGAGCCAAAGGGTCCATTATAGAAAGAGTGAACTGTATATATATAGAAAAAGAATTTTTATTATTGTAAATGCAATTAAGATTCAATAATAATAAAACTATTACTATTATTTTCTCTTGGTAAAAACGAATGTTACACGTAAAATAAAAATTTCCAACCATCTACGAGTGCTAAAGAGTATTTAAGTAAGGGCAAAGTAAAATATATTAATATGTTTTATCTGCACCCTAAAAAAATTTTGTGTAGTGAAAAGTATAGTGCAAAGGTCTTTTTTGTGTCAATTTTCCTCTACTGAATTTTATTCGCGGATCGTCAATTAAATATTGGAATATCCTATTACTAAATTTTTCTAATAAACAGTGTAACAATACTGCATCGTTAAAAAAAAAATAACAATAAACCTTAGAATATAACTAATATCATTAATATCATCGAAACATGACCACCTCTGATGCGCGTTGGGAATTTGGGATTCCTTATTTCGAAAATAATAAGACATGGAGATTAATAGATTTCTTAGAATGGAGCATAGAGTTTGCAAAAGACTTTGGTAATAAACAAGATGAACACTTGTTATATAAGATTTGTTTGGAGAAGCTACACCTAAATCCGCAATTACTTAAGTCTCACAATAATGAAAATAATGAACTTGTTCAACAGTGTTGTTTGAAGTCATTTCAGGTTTGACTTTTTTTTTCTTTTTTTTTCTTTTTTTCTTTTCTTTTGTTTTGTTTTGGGATTATATCAAATGCTAGGATGAGTCCGAACCTTCTCTGGATGAGTCTGGAGAATGCATTTGATTATATTCTCATGCTACTGCCGAAAGTGCTAGGATGAGTCTGAATTCCTGAGAGATGAGTCTTTTGGGTGCACTTTTTACTGTTGGATGAGTCTGATGGTATTCCAGCAACCATTTTTTTATATATATATAGAAGGATATGAAGTCGCTAAAAGTAAAAAAATTCTGGGAAAGCAATTCTGCTGTTATGGAAAAATTAAAAGAAACATCAGTTCTTAATTCTAAAAATATAATAAATCAAGTTTTACGTTTACATACAGATTTTAGTGAGGCACTTTTTAATACTACCCGAGAAACAGTACAACCTGGTAATACATTCTATAAAATGATATATTATGTACTGGACATGTATCTAATCTTTTCTTTAATGATGTGGAATAATAATAGTCTTGAAACAAAGGCTATCACCTGAAAACAGTTTAAGTGAGGAAGAAACTGTCATTGATACTGACAACAATCTATTTTAGTATCTGAACATGAAAAACATTTGAATGAAGATGAGGTATAGTAATTTGTATTGAGAATGTATTAGTTTGGAGTTCTAACTATTTGTAGTTGTCAAATAATGAATATAGCTATGAACAGTTTCTATTTAGCAATAAATCTTCTTTAGGGATATGTATTTGCAGTTGGTGCTGAATTATCAAACAGTATGTCAGAAAATCAAGAGGTACATCTTAAGTTAATTATTATTGTTTAATTCCAAACTTCATCATTTGATATCTAATTGTCCTTTATTCTAGGTTAGGAATTCTAAGATGATCATTTGACAAGAATGAATTATAACCCATATTTAATTTATTTCAATACTATAGGATAATACAGGATTCTATTATCAATGATGAAAATGAATATGTTGCTGGTGACGAAGTTGATGTAAAGGTAAAAAAGGTGACAATTTATGGCAATTCAGATTTAACTAATATAGTACTTGAAAAAATTACTGAAGTTCAATTTTTTATGTAGTGTGCAATCAAATTAAATTCCGATATAGAAAAGAAATAAAGAAAAATATATGAAAATAAAAAAACAGTATATGTGGAAATTATCTTCTGGAAGATATGTAAAAGAAGAATTATACAGTCTCGGAAAGTCATTGGAGTATGAACAGTAAGTATCTTGTCTGTTGTAATAAAATAAATTAGTACCAACTAAAAACTGACCTTGTATATAGTGTTATCCATTCCTTTATTATAGATGTGAATAATAGCAAAGTAAGAACCCATTTTACTGAAGAAGAACTATGTGAAATTAAAATGGCACCCAGATCCAATGTACCACCTATCTCAGATGAAATTGTTGATTATCTTGAACAAATAAATGGAAAGGTAATAATAGCTTTTCATTAACAAGAAATTTTATATGCATATGTTTTGTTGTTGATTAATTCTTCCTCTCCAATCAAGTTTGAAAGAAGTGAGACATTTCATTAACCAATACAATGAAAGATTGGGTGAATCTTACAATCAGTCAAAAAGCCATAATATAGATTATATTTGTTATTCTGTTTATTCAATGTAAGTTGAAGTTTTTTATTCAGAAAAATTATAAAAGACTCATTTACATATTTTTATTATAGGGTACGAGAGTTGGAAATATACATGAAGTCAAAATTAAAACCCCAAAGTCAAAATGTTTTGACTTGAGGTAACTACATAGTAAAAATCAGTTTCGACCTTATTTCAACCCTATTTCAACCAGATCTGCAAATGGTCAAAATAGTTTTGACTTCATGTATAGTTGGAAAGTGGAGCACTGAAACATGAAAATCTTGAATCATGGTACAATTGCCATGTTTGGGCACCAATTGTAGATCAATGTTTTGGTGATCTTGATGGAACTTCAATAGTCTGGTAATAACTTTTTACTGTTATACATATTAGCTTTTAGAGTATTGTAGTTTCCTAAAATTCATTATCTGTTAAGAGGAGAAAGTATCAGTATAGCTACTTCAAATTGAAAAAACATTAAAAGAAAGCCAACTGATAGAAAGAAACTTGGTCATTGTGGTGATTGGATCCTAAGGACAACGGGAAACAAAGACAATGATGAGTTTGGAGCTGGTGAGGCTGGCAAAAAATTTTCTGGTGAATTTGACACAAATATTTTGACTGAATCTAGCATGAAGTTGCCAAAGATGCTCAAAGACATGCTAGTCAAATTATTGAAAAGAGTCAATTGGGATATTGATAAAAGAAAACAAATGCAAACTATGGGAGTAATTCATGCTGGTAAATATTATTTAAAGCCCTGTTTGCATATTGACTTCATAACCTAATTAATTATTCATTGGATAATATTTATAGCAGTGTTGTACCATTTATGGTTCCAATAAAATTTCATTGGAACATTCCAATAGTGAGTCTTTTATAAATATTTATTTGATTTATCATATCAACCTTTTTTGCAAAAATGAACCAATTAAAGCAGGTGCTTGCAAATATGTTTTCTACCCAGATGAATTCCAACAACCTGGTGGCAAAGCACCAAAATTCCTTCATTTACACGTCATCAGCCAACAAGGAGAAATCCGGGTTTATTTATTAGACAAATTAAGAATCAAAACTAAATGAGGAAATATCTCCCAACCACAACAAACCAAAATTAAAACCTTTGTCCAAGAAAAAAGAACTAAGTAAAAATAGTATTAAAATAGATCAACATGAGAATAAGAGGAAGCATTGAGCAAAAAGCCAACATTTTCCCCCATCAGCAACCCAAGCAACCAAACATTCCGAGTTTCCAAGTAAACAAAAACAAACTAGTCATGCAATTGGATGATGGAAGAGAAGTAGGGATAGCTATTGATTGGCTTGAGAAATGAAATATAGTCATCAGTTTGTGAAACAATGAAAGTTGTTCAAGATAAAGCAATTAAGAAATCTTTGTTCAAAGAGGCTGGTCTACTAAAGTGATCTCATGATGTAATTGACAAGATTGAGATTCCTCATTGTATGGGTACACCTAAAAAACCAAGAAATCTTATTGCACAAGTACATGTTCAAAAATTGAGTGAAACTAAATTTTAACTTCTTTTTTATCAATGTGTCTCATAAATATTAATAAAGACCAGGAATGTAACTCTTTCTGAAAATATTTATGAATTTATACTCAAAAAAATTTTTGATTAATTGTATAAAAATATACAAAAGGCACAGCCAAGAAGTGATAAACTAACTGTATGATTATTCTGCTGATACAAAAAAAGTCTCATAATTTATTAAATTATAAATTTGATATTATGCTAATATATTATCATATATGATATACTGTAGATAATCTCTGATCCATAAGAAGTCACTGTGATTATGCATTCACCAAATTCTCTTCAGATTCACTTTGTCACATAGTGACAATCTCTGTTTAACTAAATGATTTTAAAGTAGAATTGTATATGTGAAGTCATGTTTTCAATTGACAAAAAATTTTTTGGCATAGAATTTTCTAAAGTAAACCATACAACGGAAAAAGAATAGTAGTTAAGGCTGCAGGATAACTTCAATATTTTCAAGGACTTATTATATGCAACTTATTTTATTTAGTAATTTTTGCCTTGTCAAGATATATTTTTTACTTTTTTTTTTTTTATTATGCTTTTTTAAAAAATAACCATAGAATTAGACATACAATAAGAAAAGAAGAGTAATTAATTACTAAAGCTTCAGATAATCATGTAGTTTATCCATCAAAAATGTCCGCCATTTTGAGTTCTCATAACACCCACCAAATTAAAATATGTGAAATTGGTAAAAAAAAATTAAATTATTTATCATAACTTAATAGTCATCAGGAAATTTTTGTGATGTAATAGGGCTTATGTATAATGTCAGAAAATTTTCATGATAGATAACGATTTGTAATAATATGAATAAATTACTTATATATATAAAGAGTGGTATTCCAACTGTTTGTGACAAAAATCAAAAAAAAACCTCTTGTAATAACAAAATCAAAAATGTCTTCACAAACAGATCCAAATCAATTGCCTAAAGTAACTAAATTAATCAAATCTTTTATTAAATAAATTCATCAAAATTAATTGATTCTCTTTTTTAAAATCATATATATAGAAAAGAAAGATGGGGTGCGGAAAATAGAAACAGCCCTAACTGCAAAAACGTGATTTTGAGAAAATCAAAAAAAAAGATTTTGACCCAAAAATTCGGTATTTGTATATCATTGTAAAAATAGACATACTGAATAACATTCATTCACTTTAAAAGAACTTGTAAATATTCTTAAAAGGAAGGTTTTGTTTATTTTTAAGGAATACCTTTAAAT